CTGCGCAACGCGTGCAAGACGGCCTAGCACAATGACACGCCTATGCGCGAATTGCAAACCGTGCGGCCCACGGAATAATATTCACGACTGCATTCTCAGCAGCCAAGCCTGTCAGCCGAACACGCCCAGGCTTAGAACGGGTCTGCCCCCTACAGGGGGACACGTCTTCAAAAGATGCCCCAAAATACTCAACAAATAATCCCCAGACGCGGCTGCGTTCTCACACGCACAGGCGCGAAGAAAAACACGCACAGGCGCCAAGCCCGTCAGCCCAACACGCACAGGCGCGAAGAACAGATGGACTGGCACGCTTTATAGTCTACACTGCTGAGAACCTATGGAAGAGGCACGGGTTATGTTGTTCCCACAATGCTTAGGGACCACATCCCAGAAATAATCTCGAGCACCCGGAGAAGTGTCGAAACGGTGTCGGAATGATGGCGGAACAATGTCGGGACGAGCGTCTCCCAGGGCCCGACACGTGAAAACCCTCGCGAGTTTCGGTACTGTTTTGGTGCTCGAAATTCGTTCTGGTGGTCAAGGCGAGAGTAGGCTATGAGAGAGGAGGACAGACGAAGGAGGCTCACGAGCGACCAGACAGATGCGGATGCGGATGCGGCCCGCGTCGAGGCGGCGCGGGGGCGGTGCAGGGGGGCGCCGGGGCGCAGCGGAAGGATGACAAGGTGAAACAAGTGAGGGTGAAACAAGGGATGGAGTAGAGACAGGAATGGACAAGGAAACCACTGCACATAATAGTACAATGTGTGTGTGTGTGTGAAATATGCAGCAATACGCCACTCACTGCTCAACGAAACCTGGCTCTAATATGTACCACTCCTCTGTTGCTGCACATGCCAATGACTCCGTCGGGGTTGTTGGTGAGTTCAGAACCGTTTGTTGCGCGTGTCGCAGCACATCGTCCCACCATCGTGACTTCGGTCGTCCAACCCGTCGTTGCGTCTGTGTCTGCGCATCCCGTTCAGGATCCCAGACGCTGCAGACAAAATACTGAGCCGTCCGCAAGCGGACACGCCTTCCGCGCTCCGGAAGCCAAATATGTGCTCCAACGCGACTTGAGGTGGGCCCCAACGCGATCTGAAGGCGAGACGGGGAGGGATGGAGGAGGGAAAAAGGAAAAGGGTATGACGAAGGAGTGGACGGAGAGTGAGCGGGTGGCACCGAACGCACCACAGGACTTGCCGCGCGCCAGGGCCCCAGGCGCTTAGCGAGCCCAAGGACCCTCGCGCGCGCCGCGAGGAGTGGCCGCATCATTCACAAAAGGGCAGCCTGCGCGTGCCTGGATGATTATTCTCCCTTGTTCGAAGAAGGCCAATTGAGATGTGTTCCTCCCCCCCCCCACTCGTCCGACCCGAAACAGGCGGCCTACACGCGCCTTGCCGACAGCACCTCCACCGCGTCGGAGGCGCTCGCCCTGCGGAGGGGCTCGGGCCTCAGCAGGGCCTCCAGGCACGCCAAAGCTGCATCGTCGTGTACGCCGCCCATGCTCGCCATCGCTTGGGCGTGGGAGCCGGCTTGGGCGAAGAAGTCGAGTATCTCCCGCGCGGCCTGCGCAAGGGATGCGTCACGGCACCCCCGCACCGACAGTTCGAGCGAGCCCTGCCCGCCGACGGCCTCCAGGAGAACCACCCCTAGGCTCCAGCAATCTGCCAGCTTGGGCCAGTATGGCTCCTCCAGCGCTGTCTCCGGAGCGACGCACGGGAGAACACCGCACAAGGTCTTCCGCGAGCTGAAGTCTGGAACGCGGGCTGCCATGCTGAAGTCCAGCAGGCGGCAAACGAACCGATTCCTCACCATCTCTACCGACACGTGCCTCGGCGAAACCTGCCGGTGAGCAACATCAATGGCGTGGCAATAAGACAGAGCACTCGCGACCTGGGTGGTGCAGTCCAGGGCGTCGTCCCTGGACAAGCGGCGGTCTGGTTGAGTCGACAGCACCTGCTCCATGCAGGCGTCGCCACCATACTGGAGCACCAGGTGCACATGGGACTGGCTGTGCAGCATGGTTACGCAGCGGATTATGTGTGGGTGGTCGATTGTGTGTTTCAGGAGGCAGAACTCCTGGTAAATGCTCTCCACCTCCTCGGCAGCCGCGACGCTGCGCTTGTTGCGCTTCTTGACAACGACAAAATCGTGTTGCCCGTTAACTGCCAACAAGACATGCTGATGATCTGCATACTGTTGCACCAGCCGGAACTCCCCGACCTGGTCCTCCCGTTCAAGCAAGCCCCTGTCTAGAGCGGGAAAGCCGGGCATTAACAAGTTTGGGATGGCCTCCCATAGAAGACTGTCAAGTTCGTCCTCCATGGTCTGGCACTCGAGTACTTCCCTTCTCAAGGTGTCCTCGTAGGGTTGCACGCGCAGCTGAATCTCTGTGTTTGCCAGAAGCTCCAGACGTACCTTGTTCTGTAAGCTCTCTGGGTCACACTCCAGCTCCATTAGCACGCCGCTCGTCCCAAAGCTATAGAGCGCATCTTGGCGT